CAGATGTGGCCCTGGGAAGAATATCTTTGCAAGCTTGTCATCTGGTTCCAGCTGTGCTAACCTAGGCCTGGTAGGCAGCCACGAGTTGTGTCTGCCAACTGGTGGCCAGACACTGGCGCAGCCTTAAACAATTAGCAGAAGCCCTCGCCCGGTGGCTGGATTCACTGTGTGTGTCCTGCAGCTGACCGCTACTGTCCAAACCAAGGGACACCCTGGGCAGAAACATCCAGAAATTAGCCCCTTGAAAAACCAGGCAAAGTTTTTTTTATCTCTTAATGTGGAGAGGGATGCAGGAATGGTGGTGGAAAACCAGTGTCGGTGAAAGAACAGCAGCAAGCCAGATGTACCCCCGTGCCTTACAGGGCTTGATCCTAGCTGAGAACTCTTGCCAGATAGAGAACGCCTGCCTTCCGGGTCCCCCTGCAGGAAAGCAGGGAATAGACTTTGACTGTGAGCTCTCTTTTTCCTCAGTTATGATTGTTTTTATTGTCCCTTGATGAGAAGACTTGATGATGATTTACTGATTTTTACCCAAACAGAGGTTTCCGTTAAAAGTATTCATTCCCACCTTTTGAAAACAGTTGGATCCCTGCAAATATGTTGTAACTTTGAAATATTTATCATCTCTGCAAAAACAAGTATAGAAGTAAATAGAATGCTCCATCCTACCCACATGGAGAAGATATTTAGAAACTGTGGAGTTTGGGTTTAATGTACCAGGCAGGTTCTACTAGCACACAGGAAAGTAACGGATTTTGATTGTCTGTTGTTCATTAAGTTCCTGATAACACAGCAGTTGCTCAGCTAATGTCTGTAGACTGAGCTGAATAAGGAAAAATTCGAGTGGACACGATGACTTGTAAGAGAGGCAACTAAAAATTAGTGTAGTTATTTCAAATAATAAATGAGGGAAACAGCCCACAATTTAGCACCAAAAAAAGTAAAGCTTTTAATTGAAATTGAAATTTCTTTTTTCATATGTCTGCATCTAAGTCTGGATATAAGAGAAAGCAGGAGGTGCCAGAGATTAAGGTTTTTGAAGGGGGCTTCTCTTGAGACTGCACATAGATGTCCACATGAGAACATCCTTGTCACAGCAGGGTCCTTAGTGGTTTTTCAAAGACGTCCCACTGTGAATAGATAACCCCGGCAGCCAGATCATTGAAGTGGGGGAAATCTGAAAGATAACTACTTTATGTGTAAAAATCAACTTTTGTATTCTGCCTGCATTGTGTAAATTTGCTGTGTAGGAACCATAAGTGGAGCCATTTGGTTTTGTGGCATTGGTGTGGGCTGGCTAAGGGGGTGGGGGATAAAGTTGGGGCACTGATACTGTATGAGGAGAGCCAGATGGTTGTATTACACATCTTTTGTGTTCTTGTTTGCTTCTTAAAGCAGTTGCAGAATTTTGCCCTTGGCGATATTTTCCTCGTGCCTGTGTGTTCTGCTACGAATTTACTTTTGTCAGAGTACTTTGAAAGAAAAGCCTTGCTTGGGGAAAAAAAAATTTAATTTTTTTTCCTTACGTTATAAACTTGTGAAGTCAACAGTGTGTTCATAAAAATATTTTTTAAATGTTAAGTATGTTAGTAAACAGTGGGAGGATCAGCTTTTTCTTTTCCCTTATAGCACAGTGATTCCAATCGCAATTTATGTCAATTCGGGGAGTGATTTTTGCAAAATTATGAATGTGGAATCGACAGCGGATGAATGGATGGAGATAGATAGATAAGTAGACCTGGCAGATGAAAGAAACAGATATATTGTTGTTCCACTAGTAATGAGGCCTGATTAGAGATTTAACTTTTTCCATTACTTATAGCAAGTTCTCAGGTTCTCTTTGCCTCTCATGTTTTATCATCAACCCTTTCCTGGGTTAGGGTAGGAAGGTGGGGTTTGCCTGGGTTTTTGGTTGGCATTTATTAGGACTGTTATCATGCCACCATTGAAATTTATATCTATTTTCTACCAGAAGAAAATTCTATTTTCCAATTATCAGTGGCAAGGGATATTTAAGATGTTCTAACTACATACAAAGGATGACATTTTATCACTGAATGCTTTTTAATAAGGAATCTCTTTGGAGTTATTTTTCCCTCCATCAAGATGGAATGCTTCAGAATAATGTAATGTCCTTTTTACAGTTCCAGTTCATCTTTTTTTTTCCTTTGTTCAAATGAGAGAAGAGCAAATATGTAGTATCTTTGGGCGATGGTTTATTCTGTTGTGTACAGATTTCCAGTTTTAGTTGGAACCTGCAGTCCCTGATGAGAAAACAGGAAACTTACAGTCCTAACCTTATTGAAATCTCTGCCGGGTTTAGTCACAAGTCTGAGGCGACTCTTTCCAATAATGAAGCCATTGTACGCATCATATCTGATCAGTTCTCGAAATGTTTTAGTAAGTCTATCTTACAACATTATAAGAAGATAATCAGCAGCCTTAGAAGGTCCCCATCTGGACTGTAGAGTTCTTTTACTGAAAGATGTTTTGCCTTTTTGAGATAGCTCTCGCGTTTCATCATCTGTTCCGCCGAGATGAAGTGCATATGAAAAGTCAGTGACTCTGAATCCATCTGTTGTTATTATTTTCCACTGATAATTGGCTTGAACAATGAAATGTCTGTGTCTGCAGCCTTTGAAACTGTACACCCTGTTTATTTTCTGGAGGTCTCACTGCAACTAGGCTCCCCCCCATCCTTCCCCCTTCATTTTCTCTCAAGCTTACAGAGAGTGGCGCTTGTGTGAGGATGACATCTTTGACTCTGTGCATCAGTATGTGTCACTCAGCATCTAAAGCTTGCGTACAGATTTTTGTCACAGTCCCTATATTTGTACTGTTTGCTCCTGAATCCAACACTCTTTCAGCAAGGAGCTTAGCTGGGCCACAATGCATGGATCCCTTACCTGGATTGTCGTCTTTATTTCACTGTCCTCATTAAAATATTAATTTAGAGTACAGTATCTAATACCTATGGAATTAGATACTACCTATAATTGTATAATATATTCAGTTGCATCCAGGTTTGCACGATGCAGGGCATTAATATTGGATTCCACTAACAGCACTTCCATTAGCTTGCTCAACCAGTATGAGATATAGATGAGCTGGGAAGCATAACTACCCGCCAGAACTGCCAAAACAGTCATTAGAAGCTCCATTGGGATGGACAAAGGCTTTTTCACTGTGATATACTGATTAAATTGTGTTCTATGGTTTATTTGCATCAAGGTTAGATCCCTATCAGCTTGGAAGCGAGTTATCTAACACCTCATTTGGAAGGTCATTTCAAGGCAAAATAGTGAAGGATCCACATCTTTAGTTTCTGTGGGCGCCCCTTTTAGAGAAACCTGTGTTTTATGGGGGGAGGGACTCTGGGAGTCTGTTTTATTTCTCTTTTCTCCATGTTATGCTATCATATGTGTTTGAAATGAGTTTTCTGTAAAAAGTTTTTTTTTTACACTTTTCAGTAATGATCTTTTACTTTTGCAGCAGGAAGATTTGACCAGAAAACAGTGTGGTATTAATAAAATAAAACTTGCTTTTGACATAGAAAGCGCCTTGTTTCCCTTGATTAGGATAATCGTGACACATTCTCAAAGGCTGTGAAGGATCTGTGACCTGCCCTCTCATGTCCAAATGCAATAATAATATAGACACTTCCTATATACATAGAACAGCAGTGCTGGGTTTGCCCCCAAAGTACTGTGTGGCATTAGTAATTAGAAGATGAACATAATCTTATTTATGTTTCAGTCGAAATCATTTAATACTGCAAAAGTTATTAAAAAATAATTAAGTTACTAAGACCAACATGTGGCTGGAACATAGACTAAGAGGTCAGTGTGAGTTGACTCCATAAGCTGGGAAGAGGCAGTCGTGAATTCCTGACGTCGGCATGTTTTTCCTCATGCTTAAATTCTTAGGTTCTAAAGACAGATTATGTGGAGGTATGACATATTTTCTGCACAAATGGAGAAAATTGTTGACTGTAATTATGTTATTTAATTGAAATTATAAGTGGTTGGGGCCACTCAGTTAAAAGCATCCTTTCTAATATAGGGGCAATGTTTTTAAATGAGTGGTCATGGATTGATGACATTCGAAGGCAGGCATTTGGGATATGTTTTTGGAAAACTCAAATTATTTTAATTGATTAGTGAACTAAAGAGGGTGGTTAAATAGCACATCGGGGGTTTGTTCTCTTTAATTAGCTATCATGAGTTTGACGTGTGAGTATATGTGCACACATGTATCCACATACGTGTTTGTAATGTGTACCTTTCACTGTGTATGTATACAAAATAGATCTTTCTGTAGGTGCAGACTCCCAAGGGTGGTTTATAATGTGACAAAGTAGAGAAACAAGAAGTATATCTCTGATCTATTAAATTGTGACTAAATGTGACAGGATTGTTTTAAACTCTCATTGATACTAGAGATTTAAATGCAGCCCACAGCAAAACTGTAAAGATGTATATATACCAGGTTCTTTCTGGTAGCTGGGGATACAACTATAATACAACACCACCACCACCCCTAACATCCCTCTTCCTCCACGAGTGAGTTCTTAATCACTAATGAATGCAATTCATTTTAATTGTTATTATAGCAACATAACATTTAACTGTCTCCTGTTTAGTCCTGTCCCCTGGAACAGGAGGTGTCTCCTGTCAGAGAGAGGACAGGTAGAAGGCACAGCGGGCGTCTGATTGAGCCAGTTATTCATTTGCTGAGTGTTTGTGTTTATGCAAAGGGGCCTCTTCCTGCATATTTAATCTAGAGTAAGGCAGTGGCTTTTGTTGTGTTTAGCCCACATACCTTCAGTCCTTCCTCACGCTGCCGCCAGCCTGGGCGCCCCGAGAGCCCGCAGGCTTCCCTAGCGCCTGTAGTTTCTCCCTCACAAACTCTCAACTTTCTTCCGTTGTGTGAAAATCGCTTCTCTCACCCCAAAGCTTTGCCTTCTCACCATGACCGGGTAAGTGTGTGTAAGCCAAGGCTGATACTTTTGTTTCATTTTACTAATGTTGAGAGGGCACTTTGCTGCCCTTCTGGGAGCCTCCCGAAGCCCTTCAGGGTTCCTGGGCCGTTTGTCAGTTTCTAGCCCCGTTAAAATACACAAGTACAGGTGTCTCTTCGGAAATGTGGCTGAATTTTGGACTGACAGAGAGAGGCTCTTCGGGACTGGAGGGAATTAAAAAGAAAAGAGAGAGAGAGAGAGCAGCTTTATTATTCTTTGTCCTAACAAATCCTGTTTTGTAACTATCCTGCAGATAATGCTGCCATTGTTTGCCTTCAAACAGTGTGCAAGAGGGAACTGTAAGACCGCAGAGAAACTCTGCTGTGTATTGTCTACACCCGGACCAGGGTCCTCCCCGAAGGTCTGCGTCGGAATAGGAAGGGTTTTCTTGTGTGGAAATCGAGTCGTCTCTTCATTGATATTAATAGCACACTGGAGATGTTGGCCATGATGCTCAGAGAGGCGGTCGGGAGGGGAGGAAATCTGATCTTGCTGGGGGGAAAATGACAGCCTCTTGGCCCCACGGTGGAGGAGAGACATCATCCAGGCTCAGTGTGCATAATGGCATCCTGGCTTAACTGTTTGCTCTAGGAATTTTAATCTTGAGCTGTTTGTTTTACTATCTGGGGTCTTGCTATTTTTTGTTCCTGCACTGTCTTTAGAAAGCACCATATTCAGGGGCTAATCCAGTCTTCTTTAAAAGGGAATTTTAAAAAAAGACTCAGAGAAATTTATGTACTACACACGTAGATCATTCTGGGGTATGATCAGGGTATTCTACTTCTTTTTGAGGGTGGAATGTTATTTCACAAATGAGTTGCCGCAATTAACAAGAGTGAACCACACACGGAAGAAATGTCCTATGTAAAGATATTGCAGGGTGTAGGAATTGTGTCCACGATCTAAAAGAAGGCGTTTGCAGTACCAGTTAACTGTTGCTTCTGTTTGAGTAACTCTTTTCAACAGAAGAGTGTGCTGTTCCCCCGCAGGTTGGAAATTGTGAGACTTTTAAATAAAAATTCATCAACCTTATTAAAATATGTGGGGACTTGGGTCTTCTTGGGTACAGATCAGTCTAGAGACTTAGAAGCATTTATTAACAGTGAGGCTGCTGAAGGTTTTTAATAATAAAATTACAAATAGTCTATCTAATTGTAAGTATATGACTTTCATACTTGGTTTTTAAGGGGAAAAATACTTTTTTTTTATGAGGCAAAGTAACTCCGTCAGAGCACCTTCTGTGATTAGCGCTATTGTATTCTTAAATTTTGATTGATAGAGATAATAGTTTTCACTTAAAAATACAGACAGGTACTTTAACTTTCCATGACAATAGCTATTTGCATTTCTTTTATCTTTTTGTTTAACATTTGTGGGGGTTGGGATGGATTTGATTATTAACTCTTATTGCACACTAAAGGGGAATGTAAAACAAAGGCTTTGTTAGGGCTTCAAAGGGAAAACAGCAAATATTGTTTTTAGGTTTCAACATTTAAAGGCTGTTAAAGGATACCGATAAAATATTTTCACATGACCATGACCAGGGTTTTACTTTTCTGTAAGGTAAGAGAGAGTCATTTATTTTCCCCCCCAGAGGAGATGGGTCGATGTGGATGGAGTTAGTAGGGGACTGGCAGCCTGAAGAACTTTCAGGGGCAAACATCAGCTGGGGTTGCCTAGACCAGGGAGCCTATTTTATTTATAGTATTTTAGGTTTTTGCCTTCTAGAATAGACCCCCAGATTAAGGTTCTATGATTTGAGGAGAGTCCCCAAGGATGAGGAGAAAAGAAGTAAAACGTTACTTGCCGGGATAGAAGAATTGGGGAAATGATAGCACATCCAAAGTAGCACATTTCTGCGGTTGGGACTGGTGAAGAGCAGACAGTATTGGAGAAGCAGTCAGGCTGAGTCGTGTCCAGGGCGGCCTCTGCTTTCAGAGACCTGGACATACAGCAGTTTCTTCTTTCTTTTCTTTCCTGTTTCCTTCCTTCCTTCCTTCTCTCTCCTTCTTTTCTCCCGTTTTGTGCTCTTTTCCTTCTGTCTTCCCCTTTTTCTTTTCTTCCTTTTTTTCTTTCTTTCCTTCTCTCCCCCCTTTCCCTTTCTGCAAGCATGAAGTTATAAAGACGTAGAAAAAACTTTGGGGTTGATTTCTGTGTGGATTGTCTTAAGTATAGAAAATAAAGTGATCCCTGTGTTACTACTCTTTCAACTAGTCACCTAGGTGTTGATGTCCCTGGGTTTTCTAAGAAATCAGGGAAAAACAAGACATGAAAGCCCTCGCAGGATAAGGCTCCCTGCTTAAAGAGGCAGCCGTCTCTTGGACGTGAGCCCATTTGGACGTGTTTCTGGAGATGAAGTGAAGGCTATTTGATTGGAGAAGTTGGAGGCATGGGAAGTTTAAACTGTGTTCCTTCCTGCACAGCGAGGGTTGGGAGGGGTCCTTGTAGTCAGAGACTGATAAACGGCCCCCTTCATTGTGACCCACAGGCTCACTTTCCTCCCCTTTGCAACTGTAGTAAGATTTTGGCACACAGTAGGTTCTCAGCCAGCATGGGTCAGCCTAAGGGTTGCAGTGAAAGCTGTTGGCCATCCTTCAGAGTCTCTTTTGCATAACTGAAATATAATGCAGAAATCCTGATGCAGATCATTTATTTTATCTGCCAAGAAAGAAAAGGAGGAAGTGATTTAAACGGAAAAAATAGAACCGATATTGTTCATTTTCTGTCTTGTAAAATGAGATCACACCGCCACACTTACCTGCAACTCAGTTCCAAGGAGGACATCCCAGTTGGCACTATGTCTTGTATGTCACATAAATTAATTTAAGGGCAAAATATACCCACAGAAAGTGTAACACCGAAACATTACTAATAATGTGAGGGTTCTGTGGAGTAAAATTCCTGACTTGTGGGAGAGAGGTTACGGAGGTAGAGGAAGAGCTTTAAGGCACATTATGTTTCTGACCCGAGAGGTGGAAGCTGAAATTTGGTGTCTTGGTCATGGTTTTTGTGGTCACCGCATCACTTCAGGTAAATGATATTGTTGCAATCAATAGTGAAGAGGCCACGGAATAATTCTAGTGTTCACAAGGTCTTAACTGTGGATGACAAAAAGGAAAATAATTTGTTTACTGCACTCTTGGCTCACTTTTAAAACCTAAAAAACCAATAGGAAAGAGAGAATATGAAAAAGAAATGCAATTTGTATGGAGATAGCATTTTTTAAAAGAAGACCAAGTATGGGCAGGAGGGGAATATATTTCTTTTATCTTTTTTTTTTTTTTTTTTTTAAAGCTTTATATAATCATTTACTTTTAGTTTGGCACTCACGCTGCCAGTAAACACACAGGTGTAAATGATACATTTGATAAGTCAAAGGATTGTTTAAAAAATAGCAAATGTAGCTCTAGAAATGGAAGTTTTATGCTTTGGGTAAGAGTGAAATGCAGATTTTTCTTCTAGTTGATTTCTGATTCTTCTAAGCTCGTAATGATGCAGGCTAGGGCCCTGGTACTACCCCCTAATTTTCTTGTCTTTTATATTGGCACATTTCATTTAATCTAGCATGATGGCAAACAGCTGTTGAACTATTAATCTCTTCTCAGCAAAACTAGAAAAATATCTTTTAGATTCCTTTGCTAACGTATACTTTTTCCTAAGAAGTAAAATCAACAGAAATAAATTAACGAGTGGTCAAATGTGCAAGCGCATTAAAATGTATACAACTTTAAAATGGATGAACGTATAGATTGGATCCCACTACCGACTTTTTATGTGTAAGTGAAAATTAAACGTAGCCAATTTTGTATTGCTTTAGTATTTGTAACTTGAGGGTTGAAGGTGTAATTTTGTTATTAATATTGCTCCTGCACCCATGGCAGCAAAATCACCTATGTAAAATCTGAGGGTGAACCAGCTTCTCTCTTTGCTCTGTGCTTACTTACGTACTGTATAAATAGGTGAGTGGAGAAACAGCCCGGTGCCCACCTGAATATGTTCTGCAGGTTTGAATGCAGCACCAGAGATAACTTTATTCAAAGTAGGCATTTTCAGCAGTTTAAAAAAATTAAATTTTAATGAGGTCCAGTTGTTTGCCAGGCCTATACGGTAGCAAATCTCATCTGCATTGCAAAGTCTAATACTATAGGTCTGACTGCCAAACATGCAAAAATAGATGCTGCTCAATAGATAAACATATAAATTAGTTTAGAATGTATGTATTAGAGAATATCTCAAGTAAAAAAGAGGGAGAAAAGAGCATTCTTGCTTTGAATTGAGTAGGGTCTGCCAAAGTTCACTCGCTCTCCACGTGAGATTTGATGAGTGATGGAGGTAGAAATTTCTGGTGCTTGAGATGTGGCTGTGCTTTGTATCCACTGAGCTCTTATATGAGTGGAGTGGGGCTGCTTTGCTCATCTCTGCTTTACCGTGAGGACCTGACCGTCCTTGCTCTGTTTTCCTTTCTTACCACTGCTTGCCCTGAAACAGAGTTCTCACCACCAGAGAAACCAATCCTAGGGACATACATCAGCAGTAAAGCACACGATTTTCATTTTCAATTTGAATTGTTTTGTGTAAAAACAAAAAGCTTTTGGGCAGGCTGCAAAATAGTAATTTTAAGTCCCAGAGCTAGGGTTTTCCCCCACCCAAATGGTGAACATTTATGGTGAAAACCTCCAATTTCCTCTTACAGTAAACATGAAAATTATGATTTCACTCAGAGCCTGCATCTTTTTTCCAATCTTAATGGCAAGAATCTGCATACACTTGCTTGTGGAAATGTCATAAATTGGCCTCAGATCAATTCTTCAAAGACAGTATACACCAAAGTGCCACTTCCAAAATTTTAGCCCTAGTGAAGGAAGATTTTCACTCAGTGATGTTTGCCTTCTACCTACGGGGCCGACAACAGGGGCGTAAGCAGGGATCTAGTCGTATAAAATCAAAACCACTTCATGACATATTGTTCTGAAGAGTGAGCAAAAGGATATTAACATTTTAATAAAATGTTGATACGATTTCATCATCTTAAAAAAATTATCTGAGCATTTGGTCAATGGATGTGGAATGAATCCTGTACCCTCTTGGTAATTTGATCTAAATTAATAAACAAATGTTTTTCTTTTCACTTGTGCCATATGTTGATCCCAGTTACATGGGCAGAAAGAGGCAGCTTGTGATGTTTCTTAAAGGATTACACAGTGTTTTGCATCCGGGCATGTGCAGATGCTGGAGTTGATGTGGGAGAAAATGTGTTCTGGGGCTTCTTTGTGTTTTAGGAAGCTTGATTTCAATTGTTTATTTCATCTGACATGAACCATTTTTATTTAACTTACTAGATCTGGTAGATATATGCTAAGTGAAAAACATTCTGTGAACAGCTTTCACCAGCAATTAACCCTCCACGCCTCCCCAACTGAAAATGGTGGTGCTTTTATTCATTTTGAAAGGTCTAAAGTAGCAGAAAGCATCTTGTCTACAAGAACCAACTCTCTTCCGAAGGGGGGGTAAATAAGCCTCTGCTTTAATGAAATAAGAGATGTTGTGGGTATTAACCAAACAGAGACACGTTCAAGTAACAGTCTGGTTTCCAAAAACAAAGGGCTGTGAGTCACGTATTATTCCACATGAAAATGAATTGATAGACAACAGGAGGAGAAAAAGTTCAGACACACAATTTGAAATGTTTCACCTGGACTTTTTCCACCCAAGTTGATTTTGTCGTCTTGAAGAACTTAGAGGCATGTGGTCCAGGTAAGTGGAGATGTTGGGACTTGTTTTTATTAACTCTGAAATAAGTATTTGCCATTAAATATAACTGAGTTCCTTTGTTGTTTTGCTTGTGTCTTATCCCAGGCAGAGGTGGTTGCAACTTCTCTGTGGCATTCATATTTTGATGTTCTCTTTTGTTTTCAGGGTAAGACGTGACCTTTTGAGGTGACTATAACTGAAGATTGCTTTACAGAAGCCAAAAAAGGTAAATGCAAATGGGATCAGTAGAATTATATCTAGGGCTGTATCTGTTGCCTTCTAGGCATTTTAATTCTGTTAATTTTGACACGAACTTGTCAAATATATATGTATCTATTTGTGAGTCAGTATTATGTTGTATATTTTTGGAGGTCCTAAAAGAATTGATTGCTCTTAAAGGGTTCACAGATTCCCCCC